TAAATACTGAGCAAAAGGTCTGAATACTTATGACCATGTGATATTTCAGTTTTTCTTTAATAAATCTGCAAAAATGTCAAATTCTGTGTTTTTCTTTCAATATGGGGTGCTGTGTGTACATTAATGAGGAAAAAAAATGAACAAATGATTTTAGCAGATGGCTGCAATATAACAAAGAGTGAAAAATTTAAGGGGGTCTGAATACTTTCCGTACCCACTGTACATGTCCAGTCAAAGAAGTCCAGAAGTCACCTCCATTTTCCCAGTTTTTCTTTTTTTTTTTTTTACAGGTAAACAGTTCAAGTCCAGTAAATAACCCTAAATGGTACAAAGCAGAGAGAATCACTGCAGACCCCTCACACCCTGGACACAATCTGTTTGAACTCCTCCCCTTTAGACAGTGTTACAGGTCACTGTGCACTAAGACAACCAGGCATTCCCCCAGGCTGTCACTCTGATGAACACTCAACCAAGGACAGTATGACTGGACAATAACCCTCAGTGCAACACTTGTATATATATATATATATATACATTGTACAGATTATACAGACTCGTACAGGTCTCTAGCTTTAAGTACTCTGTTTTTATCCCTATTTATCTAATTTCAATGAACATTCCTTTGTTGTCTGCATTGTTTACTGCCTGTTTATACTGCTTATTTTGCATTGTTTGCACTGTTTGTTGCTGTTAATACTGCTTATTTTGTTATATTACACAGCCTCATGCTGGTTTACCGTTTACTTGCCCCTTGCATGGGGATATGTACATGCACATTGAAAGCTGATGTACCAGAGTCAAATTCCTCGTGTGTCCAACACACCTGGCCAATAAAGCTGATACTGATTCTGAAGCTGATAAAGTAAACTCCCGGAGGTTGAAAAAAATAACAAAAACTAACATTTTTTCAGGGAGCCAGTAACTGCTGAATGTCCATCTTTTCTGCAGCGGTGGAAGTAAATGATGCCAGCATTGCTACAGGTGTCCCAGCTGCTGTCCGGTACTGACAATAAACGAGACCTCCATCGTGCCACTCTGGGCGGGCTGCATATAGATGTGGGTTGGTGCAATTGTCAGTGTGCTGTGTGTGTGCTCTGTTGCTGTGTGGTTGCACAGAAAGAGATGAGCTCTGGCCCTCAACCCTTCTTTACCCGGCTAACGTTAAACATTTATAAGCTCATAGTCTGTGTCAGTCTCACGGAGCTCCCTGTTTCATGGTGTTGCTGTTTCACCAGCTGGTTTCCTGTGATAGCACATGGACCTGGACTAACCGGCCTGTCATACTGTCTGCTGTGTTAAGTAACATCATGTCTTCAAGAATTTCACTTCTCCTTTTGTCACATTTTGTTTTTCAGCGCCTCTTTGCATTCTCATCATGCCACCTCATGACCTGCAGAAAATATCTGACCACAGACGACGACAGATGTGAAATCAGCTTCTGCTTTTCCACAGCTGAGGTCACGTAAACAACACTCGGACAGATGAAACAACAGGAGTTACTATATGTGAAGCATGCTGTCCTTCCTCCAGCTGCAAGCTTAAAATTGTAAAAGGCTAAAGTCACAGGCTGTTTAAAAATAGATTTACCCACATCACATTCACTTCACAAGTCAAATCCCGAGTCTCACTGATCTGCCTCCTGATCCTATCTGGGATCATACCATAGCTGGGCTTGAAGATGCAGTCGATACCTGCCTGCTCTTTGCTTCAGCTCCAGGTGTCCTGCAGAGGACCAGGAGATGGGCCGAGGAAGCTCTGGGTTGCTTAGCTGCGCTGTTAAGGCTGCGCTGCGTAAACACATGGTTAAAAGTAAAAGTCCTGCATCCCGTACAAGTTACTGTGTTGTAGATTTAATTTGCTCATCGGTCTGCACTCAGTAGCCTGTAATGACCAAGCTGTAATCAAAGCAGCTTCAAAAAAGTCCGAGTTTAAAGCTCTGAACACATTCATGGAGAGATTTCAGTTTTGGATTTTTAATACATTTGCCTAAATTTAAAAATGTGTTCATTTTATCATTATGGCTTATTGTTGTCTGAGCAAACACATTGAATCTCCAACACAGTTCATCTCTGAAGCTGCTGTCGCCTCAGTATTATCAGGAAAATGTAATAGATAGCACTCAGTGCATTGTGTCCCCTTTGACTGGCACAGATACCATTTATCATTTCTTACTGACGCAGCTGGGTTTTAATTACTGGCTGCAGATAATGATTATTTTCATAATAAATTATTCTGCTGATTACTTTCTTCAGTTGTGAGAGCTACTGTTTCACAGGGTCCAGTCAGTCCAAGCGTCAAAGTTTTTCAAATAAATAAATCACAATTGTTAAAATAAAAGCAGCTTACTGTCACCTTTCAGAAGCTGAAATGTTAGCTGCAAATTAATTTTGTCAGCTGGCTCAGTTTAATAACAAAACATGTTTTATAGACTCATTTTTTATTTTTCTTCATTTGTAATCTAACTGAAACAGTCACGTAAAGAAAGTGAAGTAAAAATATATTTCTCTCAGAACTGTTGAGTAAAAATACAAAGTGGCATGAAAAGAAAATACTCAAGTACAAGTGACTCAGATTTGTCCTTGAGTATAGCATTTTTGCAAATGTACTTACTTTTCATGGTTGTTTACCAAATCTCTTTAACATAAAGACTAAAATGAAAAAGGGCTCATACTTTTAAACTTCTCAATAAATTATACATTTCTTAGCCGATGACATTGTGATTTATTTAACTAATCTGGAAAAAACTCAACCAGCCACTTTCCACTTCGCCAAACCTTTTTACGTGTGAAATACAAATAAGATTTGATGTAAATATTGAGTCCATGAATCAATGAACATGGTCTGAAGGGTTTCTCTGTGGTGTTCTGCTTCCAGCTATTTTACAGAACAAAGTGCAAGTAAAAACATAAACAGCATGAGAACAGGAAGGATGTGAAGAAATGAGTGTGACTGTCTCTTTGATTGACTTCGTCCTGTTTTTCACACACAGACTGTTTTATGCACACTTTAATGGTTATCATGTAACATAGAGAAACAACATTTACACTCATATATGATGATACATGTTCATATGGACAACCAAAAAACATCCAGAAAAACTATGAACACAATCAGAAAACATAAGTGTGCATGTTAATATTAGCATCTGTTAGCGTCTGCTAGCAGCTCTGTTTCCCAGTGGATGTCCCACAGTCTGACAGTAACAGATGAGTTTTGTTTATTTGTCCACATTAGACATACAGATCACATGGTCTGACAGAAATATGCAGCACCGACTCCTCGTCACTTCCTCTGCGCTGAGGCAACACAGTGACGTCACAAGACCCACCAGTCGCAAATAACAGCAGCTAAAAGAGTTTGTGGCTAAAAGAGCTTCACATTCAATATACAGGCAAGTCCTGGAAAAAGTCCTGAGAAAATCTTGGGAAGGATCCTGGAAATATATGGAAAAAGAGATAAAATTCTTGTATTTGCTAAAAAGTGTCTAAAATGCAGCAGCAGAAACAACGGATGTTTCCCAACTTTAAAGCAGCTTGAAGCTAAACTGATATAAAACTCAAATGTCCAACACTTCCTCTCAGGGTGTTTCGGGTCCGGGATCGAGCGATGAAAGCGCAGCATTACGTCACTCGTGTGTCGACAGTAGCTGCGGCATAATCCAGGGACGTTGCCATGGTCTTTACAGTGACAAGGCCTGCATGTTGTCGCTGTCTGACATCACCGAGGCTCGAGTGGAACTCAGTGGAGTCCTGCTGGACTTACCCGGCTGACTCTTGTTGGCTGGTGGCTGGCACTGGCAGGAGCACAGCAGCTGCTGCAAATCGTGGCGAAAGCGCACGCCCACAAAGGCGTAGAGGAAGGGGTTGAGGCTGGCATGCACATAGGCCAGACTCTTCAGCACCTGCTCCACCAGGTCAAAGCGCTTCATCTCCTCACAGTCCATCATCTGGTTGGAGGCCTGTGTTGCCTGCATCACCAGCACGACAGTGTAGGGCAGCTGCGACATGACGAACGCCGCCACCACTGCCAGGATGACGCGCATGGCCCTGTGCTTCCGGAAACTTCGGGTCTTGAGCAGCGTGACAACGATGATGCTGTAGCAGAAGGCCATAATGATGAAGGGCAGGCAGAAGCCCATGCTCACCTGCAGCGACAGCACCAGGATCTTTGTGCGGTTGCCCAGGTGAGATGGGAACACCATCCTGCAGTACTGCTGCGATTCCACCTCAGAGATGGTGGCAAACATGAGCTCAGGTGTGGCAAGCAGCAAGGCCAGTAGCCACACCCCCACACACACCAGCCGGCTGCAGCGGAGGCGCGCCATCTGTGTATTTTGTGCCTTGGTGGTCTGCACGATGACAATGTAGCGGTCGACACTGATGCAGGTGAGCAGTAGCATGCTGCTGAACAGGTTCACCTTGTAGAGGGCTGAGTTCAGCTTGCAGAGGGGGGAGCCAAAGTTCCATCCATGCAACGCCTCAGTTGCCCACAGCGGCAGTGTGATCAGGAACAGCAGGTCGGCCACTGCGAGGTTCAGTAGGTACATGTCCGTCATGCTCCTCAGCCGCCGCCGGAAGTTCAGGTAGATCCAGACCACAGCCAGGTTCCCAGCTCCACCTACCAGGGTGATGATCCAGAAGAGGGGTGGCTCATACCGTCCCCTGAAGGCCCGAGCTGACGCCCGGTCGCACATCAGGTCTGGGTAGTTGTAGTCCTCGTCGGTGGTGGGCAAGGGGCTGAGGGATGATGGGTCCTGATCGGGAAAGATGACACACCTGAGCACACCTGCTGCAGCTACATGTGTCTAATACAGACTCTGAACCTCATATGTCCAACATGTTTTAATCATCTACAGTTTGATTTAAACTGATCAATTAACCAATCAAACCATAACAAAACAAGCAGGGCAGATTCCTCAGTAAGTGATCATAAATAATCCATATTTGTTACCTCAGTAATGAACGCCTTAGTGGTGTAATCCATGGAGGTCATGTGATCAGATTCTTGTTTAAGCCGATGAGGTTATTCATTGACCTTCACAGGAAGCCAATAAAAACAAACAGTTCAGGACATTTTTTACAGTACACCTCCTCCTCCTCTCATCGTTACTCCATTAGTACTAATAAGAGTCTAGTACTAATATAGTAACACTGACAGGAGTCATTCTGCACAATGACAGCTTTTACTTTTGATACTTTAATTGCATTTTGCTGTTAGTACTCTGCATACTTTTACTACAGTAATCATTGTTTGTAGTATTTCCTTCGTGGTTTTATTACTTTTACTTTCTTTACTTTCACTTTGAATACTTGGTCTGACACTAGAGATGCAAGGATCGCAGTACATGATGGGAGAAGTATTCAGATCCAGTACTCAAGTAAAAATACTAATACTGCACAAAAAAATACTCCATAGTAACAGTCTTGCATTCAGAAACCTACCAAAGTGAAGGTATTGAAGTATTGCCAGCAAAGACCTGAACGTATTAACAGTTCTCATTATGCAGAACGGCTGATGTCATAATACACCTTAACAGTAACTGATGTTGACATACAAAAAAAAATACAGGATTTATTGTTTGTTATTACAGATGAATCAAAGGTTTTAACATAAACTGCAACATTAAACAGAGGCCTCCGTTATTATATTAATATTCCCTGTTATGCATAATGAGTACTTACTTTTGGTACTTTCTATTTTTGATACTATTGTATAATATAATATAAAATATGTCTTGATAAGATTCTGAACAGGAATAAACATGTTCTTTCCTGGTTAAACAGGGCAGACAGGACCAAGTGAAGCCTCGGTGCAGGGCCCCAGAGTCTAACAAATACGAGGTTAATGTCTTTGTCTTTAACGCTGGTGCACGCAGTCATTCAAACACACTAAGGAGAAGCTACAGACACACAAACAGACAAGTGTGGACTTACAGTCAGTCGTCTCCTCGTCTCTGCAGCGCCTCTCAGGCTCAAGCTGTTTTTGTGTCCGTTAAACCACAGAGTGACGTTCAAGGACGACTCAAAGCAGAAGTTGCCAACTCAAAGGGAGGAGCAGATCACAAAACACAACCCTGCACAAGATCTGAAGACACACAGTGTCTGAAGCACATCCTTCACTTCTCCCTTAAAAACCTTTAATTTGAAAAGGCTTTGAGGCTTCAGGACTTTACCCTTAATTTTCACATTAATGTGAAATGTCTGACAAATGCATGAATGCTGGATTTTAGATGGTATGAGGGTTAAGGCATTTTGGCCTTCTGTTCACAGGTTTACCCGGTTTGGACAAATTAATGGAAACAATCGTAGACTGCAATATATATGGGGGATTTTGATGAGTTTGCTGCAGAGTTTAAAGGTTTTTAAGAGATTTTTAAAAACCATATATTTTACTAAATCACATTTCAGGCATCCCTTACTTTGTACCTTAAAAGGTTCAGACTCAGTGGTTCACCCCAGTTTGGGGTTAACTAAGATAAATTAATGAATTAGTATAAACTAAGGGTTTTCTGCAAGATTTAAGGTGTTCTAATGGTTAAAACACAAACTTAATGTGTTTTAAGGTAAACATTAACTTGTACCTTAAAACACTTTGAACTTGCAATTGAATTAGTTAGAAGCTCATCATAAATGTGAATTAATTAATCGATAGATAAATTAATTATAATGTGTCCAGTGGTGCTCGGTGGATTAAATGTTCATAAAAAGCCTGAGTTACAAACGGGCACAGTAGCACCTGAAGTGGTGTCTGAAACCTGACCTGACCTGGACCAGGTGAGCCCAGAGGCATCAGTTTCCATGGTAACAACAGGTGCAGAGCTGCTACGTGCCTGCGCTGTGTCTGGCAGGTTTGTGGGTTCAGGGCGTACCCTGGCCTCAGACCACAGACACTACTGTCGCTCTCTGTAGTAGTGACGTGCCTGTGGTTGTACAGGCTGAACATCATGTCTCTTTTCTGTTTAGTTTACTTCCTGCTAGATAGGTAACACATGTTTGCACTTGTATCTGTCGGACCCCTGCAATAATAATCACAGTGGCAATCGCCTCCTGTTTGTCTGAGAAGTGGCTCCTTCTGTCATTTAAACCCCATTCTTGGGTTCAGCTTAGTGTCAAATCTGACTTTTGTCTGAAAATGGAGGAAGTCAGAAATGTTTCTGCTAATCTGATGGAAACTTGCTAACACCAACACATAGGCCTGTTTGGGAACAGACATCATAACCATCAGGAGAGAAAGGCCCTGTAAAAGATGAATGGGCTGTTGTAATGTCAGCTAGAGGGTGTTGCTGCTGTTCTCTCTGAGCCCGGTTTTTAGTCTGTATTAGTCCACATGTGGTCACAGTGCCCCCACCACCAGCAGCAGTGGCAGCTGTCATTGGAGCGCTGTGACACCGAAGGAAACCTAGAGACAGGAGGATTCCGAGGCAGGTTCTGCAGCCTCCTCTCCTCTGGTTTCTCAGTGGGTCTATGGAGGTTTGTTCTGGAGGGACATCAGAGATGATGGGATCTTCAGGAAGCCGAAGTCACGCTGAGTCAGATCAACGTGATCAACATCAGGACCCATTTGGACTCCAGTCCACCTCACTCAGCACGCCGCCCACACCCCTGAGGAGACATTGGTCTCTGTCCTGCTGATGGTACAGGCCTGTTACAGAGCAGATCCTGTCACCAAGGTTTAAATGAGTTAAATTAATTAAGAGCAGAGTGAAGGTCTCACTCCCACCTCCCTGTGTGATGTGTCTCAATGAGAACTTAGATTTGTTTTAGGTTAAAGGAGACACACACAATAGTGCACAGTTCATATTGGACATTAACCAACTAGTCCTGATTCTGTGTAAAAAAAAAAAAAAAAATCTGACTATGAAGTTGATATGAACCTTCAGCAGTTTGAGTAACGTCATGAAAAGTTTCAGAGGGAATTTGTACAAAAAATTTACTTTAAGATAAGGTATGATTTTTGCAGTATTTGTATGATGTGGTATTACTGCTTTTAGTAAAGGATCGGCGTGCAGCACGGTGGCGCGGTGGTTAGTGCTGTTGCCTCATAGCAAGAAGGTTCCATGTTTGGGGCCTTTCTGTGCAGAGTTTACACAGCTGGAAGTAGTAGTAGTAAAGGATCAGAGTACTTGTTTCACCACTGGATACAAATACATAGATTTATCGGCATTATTTAATGATTAGGTTTAGCTGTTGATTGAAATACAAAGAAAACCAGGGTCAGGTCAAAGTGTGTGTGTGTGTACGTGCGCAGTTGCAGCTTGTCATGCAATGCTGCACAGTATAAACACACTCTCACACAATGTGGCTGCTTCCTGTTTCGGTGATCTCACAAACACACACACACACACACGTACACCGGCCTTTCTATCTGTGTGAGGACACTCACAAACATAATGCATCCCCTAACTCCCTAACCTTGACCTAAACCTGACTCTGACCTGAGCCCTGAAACCAAGTCTGAAGCCTCAAAATATTTTTTAATCTAGTGATAAATGCTTTTTATGCACATTGCAAGGACTCGACTGGTTTTGTCCCCACAATGTGAGTAAATCTGTAGACACTCACACTCTCAGATCTTATCATGTCACCTCTTTCTTCCTCCTTTCTGTTATTGAACACAAACTTTGGGATGCTGGTTACTATAGTTACCTCCTCCTCCTGTCAGGTGCTGGATGACGCACACACAACAGGTCGGACACAGGCCTTTAGTTCCCCAGAGGGATTATTGACAATTTCTTGATTGACGGTTGTCTGAGGCAAGCAGGCAGGAAGTGACATCATTTATTCTTGGCAGCTGACCAAGGTACCTTTGACCTTTGGTGACACTCTTCATCACGCCAGCCGGTGTCATGTTGGCCATCAGTAAATGAGCTGACAGACAAAAAGGAGTGAAAATAACAATGGGCCACATTCACCAACATCTTCCTATATGTTTTTGTAAATTTCCTTGTAGGTTGTTCTTATGAAAAATCAACTTCTGATTCACAAACGCATTCATAAGCTGCAGAATTATTCACACTTTTCTTTTTACATTGCTGAATACCATGTGTTCGTAAGTTGAAAGCATGTGCCAGTCATTCCTATTTAACATATGTTAACGCCCTGCTAATGCTCTTGCTCACGAGACCTTTTTCTAACAAAATTAAGTATTACGTGTTAGTTTAAGGATTTCCTTGAATGGTCATTATTTCCAGGCCGTTGTGACTTCACGTGAGCTTGCCTCCTGCTTCTGCACTGTGACCAGAGGATGTGGAGGAAAATACAGGGCCTGAGGTTACTGCATGTCCGGAAATGTTCTTGTACAGGGACTCACTGTTTTACCTGACCGGGTCTAACCTACAAGCAGCCAGTCATGAAGCCCCCACCGTGGTTAGTGATCAGCTCATCAATGCTCAATTCCCCCGGAGCACAGTACCTGTTTCTTTTGACTGCTTGAGGCCAGTGTGTCTGCCGCATGTGATGTGATGATGCTCTGAGCTCGTCCTCTCCTCTCTCTCCATCCATCTATATGCCACCATTACACATCACTAACTTTGTGTCTCCTCTCTCCCATAGTGTGTTCTCTCTCTCTCTCCCTGTACCTTTCTGCAGGTTGCCCTGGCTCTGGAGCTCTATGTTTCTGATGAGCAGTTACCAGCCACATCAACCTGCCCAGACTTTGATTGTTTGTTGTTGTGTTTGTTGTGTCTTGTTGCTTTTCTTTTCTCTCTCCTCTATCCACTTGCCCCAACCGGTTGAGGCAGAAGGCCGTCCACCAAGAGCCGGTGTCTGTCAGAGGTTTCTTCTGTTAAAATGAGTTTTTCCTCCTCGTTGTCGCCCAGTGCTGCTCAAGGGGGATTTGTTGGGTTTTTCTCAGTAATTATAAGAATAATGTCCAGACCTTACTATGTAAAGTGCCCAGACATGACTTTTGTTGTGATTTTGCACCACTCAAATAAAACAGAATTGAACTGAATATAAGAGGTTTTATGGACAGTTTTTCTTTTTATCTTCTTTTTTGTTATGCTTGACTGAAAGAGACTGCTCAAGACTTCAATGCAAACTTCATCTCATCTTATCTTATTAAAGTGACCAAATGTTTGAGAGAGACAGTATAAAGCTTATATAGACTATTTTGACAGGTCACTATATTAAAATGTCGGCTATAACTATGCTACTGATTTCAGCTTCTTATTTTAGACTATGGCAGCGAAATCAATATAACCTCCTCGTTCTTCTTCTCCACTCCTGCAGGGAGTGCAAAAGCTCAGACATGACGTCAGGCCGAAGAGGAAGAAGAAGCAGCAACGGATGTAAACAGCGGCTTCTCGGTGTTTGAGCAGTGAGTTTTAGTTTTAATATTTTACCCGTAAATGTGTTTATTCAACCCGTTTCTGTTGTATTACATCATGCCCTGTCTGTTAAACTGTTTAATTACAAAGCTTCCGTTGCTCCTTTAACAAAATCGATCCCTTTAGCTTTGCTTAACAGTGCTAGCTTCCTCTGACGCCACAAACCGAGCTCAGTATAAAAACTCCGGTTAACGGAGCTGCAGCTGTCGGTGACATCGTGTCAGATCATTTACTTATGTCACTAACAATTATTCTTAAAGCTTTATACATAATGGTTTAAATGCTTACATTCGCTAGTTTGCTTCATGTGGTGGTGATGATGATGATTATTTTACTGCTCAGACATTTTACATTTTTAGGATGTTAAGGACATTTTTAATCGTTTACGTTTTTATAATTTAAGGTTTGGGAACACAGTTTATGATGGTAATTTGCGGTTATTTATTTTATTATCTAGAAAGTTGTTATTTTGACTGCTGATTTAGAATATATCCTTATTAATTAAGACATCATTCTCCATATTATTATAATTGTATAATAAAATTTCCTCTGAATGTGATGTGTTATTTTCAGTGCTGTTTATTTTTTGTCTGGATGTTTGTGCATACAGTCAAACACCTGCAGGGATCCCGGGTCAAAGGCTCCACCTGTAGGCAGAAACAGTGCAATCAGAGCAGAGAAAGCTGATGCCATGGTGATGTTGTCAATGAAGCAGCGGTACCGTGACATCAGCCCTGTAACCCTGCAGGTGGTGGGTGGGGCTATGAGCTCCAGTTTGTACTGTGGGGAGGTGGAGGGACTGTCAGGGGGGCTGGTGGAGTCCTTCCTGGTGGAACTTTATCGCTGTAAACTCTGTCAGTTCACCTGTGGCCTCAAGACTGCCATCAGCAGCCACCTGCTGCTCAGGCACCGCCCCCCCACCCTCACCTACCTGGGGGAGGCTGACAGAAGGGGTATGGCAAAGGGCAGAGAGGAGGCCGGGCTCCAGCAAGGGGCCTCACCATATCATCTGGATCTGAATGTAGAGTCAAAGCAGAGTGATGAGGATGAGGAGTTCCTGCTCTACAACATGCTGGACAACATGAGCCCGCCCACCTGTGACATTAGCACCGAGGGGGGGCTGCAGGTCGCACACACCTGTGAGGTGACACACCTGACATGCATACACACACACACACACACACACACACAGCCTAATATTAATTTTGGTTACATTTTCCAACAGAAATCAAAGGGATTCAGTTTAGTGACAGTGGAAAGTATGTTTTTTTTAACAGTGATTTAATGATTTTTCTGTTTCACCTCTGTTCATGCTAATTTCAAGAGGCAGCCATTTAGACACGAGCGGAGCAGCCCAGTGTTACTTAGAGGCATTTCAGACACTATATGTTATAGATTCACTGCTGCATCAACATGAAACTGCTGCTTCAGTCAGACAACTCTGTTGACATCTGACATCAAAGCTACGACAAACGTGGACATAAAAACATTGAGGGAGACTAACCACACTTGTGTACACATTGAACAGTAAATTTTCATCTTTTTTGTCTTTCTCAAATAGATGTTAGTAATGTTTTAACTGGACTAGAGCTCTGAGAAGCTGAATGTTATTGTCAGTGGTTCCACTTGCTGTGCATGCAGCTCCTGATCTAACTACTTTAGTGCACACTCAACAGAATATTTCTAAAATTGTATCTCATTCCCTAACTGTGATCAACAGCATCATTCAGGAGAGGCCAGAGTTTCTGAAGTCATGAAATGAAACCTATGAAAACCCATCACAGCTCCATTAGGAGAAAATTTGTCTGTCTCCAGGTCAGCACTCTGTTTGAGGAGGAGGAGGAGACCTCCATATTCCCTCTGAAGGGGGGTTCAGTGGACCTGTCCTGCCCTATTGCCCCCCACACCACCCAGGAGGAGATGGCTCAGTCCGCTCACCTAATGAGTCTGGGACTGTGTCGCATCTCAGCTGCCAAACCTCCTGCTCCTGCTCCCACTGCCTCCTGCCAATCCATCCAACACCTCCCTCCACCTGCAGACCCCCCTCGTCTGTCAGAGAATGGCACAGAGGCATGGAAGACTTCACCCTCCAGCAGACGTAGGCTGCCGTGTCTCCTGTGTCCTCTGACACTGACGACCAGGCGGCTGCTGGATGTCCATGTCCGGTCTCACCGAGAGGCCGGTGGATTCAGCTGCATCTGCTGCAGCTGGATGGCTGACAGCTGGGAGGAGCTGGAGCCTCACTGGAGGAGCCACTGCAGGAGGAGGAGGAGGAGGAGGAGGAGGAGGACGAGGACAAGGGAGGAGCAGAAGCAGAAAGAGGAGAAGAAGGAGGGGGAGGCACCAGCATGGAGGCCGTTCAGCTGGCCGATGTGTGTGAGAACATTCAGGAATGCTGCGTCACGAAACACTCATCAACACAGTGAGTACTGCAGTTTATGATCAATCAGTAATCAATAACACGGTGATTAATGATTTGTTTCCTCTAGATGGATGGAGGGGCCGGCTGACTGGAGGAGTAGGAAGGAAGAAGGTGGAACATAGAGCTGGGTAGGTGACTAAAGCTGTCTTCACCTGAAGGGTAACAACTTCATACAACTTACCTTTACTAGTTACTAATTAAATGTTACCAAATTAAAGCTACAGTATGTACATAACTGTTGTTGTAGAAGTCTGCTCCACAACGTATCCTAATGTGGAGAGGTGCTGTCAAAGCCTCCTGTGACCCAGACTCATTGAACAGCACTGCCGGCAGTGCTGAGACATTAGCTTCTAAAAGGTTTGGAGCGGGGTCAACCTCCCTAACCAATCAGAGATTTTCAGCGATTTCTGCTTGATCAGTAAGTTTTGTTGCTTTGTCATTTATTGTAATTTCATAACAACAGATATGTCTGTCTGGGCAGAGTGTGGCAGAGCGTAACAGGTTGTAGTAGAGCAGAGTGGAGCAGGGAGAAGGAGCGCTGGGCGGAGCAGAGCGGGCTGATTTGAAGGTTCAGGCGAGTGCTACCTTAAGTTACATACTGTGGCTTTAATATGTTAACAAAATGTTATTAAAACATTTTCAAAAACAATTTTCTAATATATGATAAAAAAAAATATCATATTTCCATAATGTCCTTAAAATGTTCCTGAAACGTTCTGAAAAAAAAATCATTAGTGTTTTTTACAAATCAAAATATATCCATAAATATCACTGAAACATTCCCTAAAATATTGCACATCATCCAAAGACTTGAAATTAATTATATTTCTTGAAAATTGTTTAAATACTGAAATCAGGATAAAATGTTGTGATATTTGGAGTCTCTGGCTGCTGATCCGACACCAGTATTTTTGTGTGTTGCTCCCAGTCTGACCAGTAGATGTCTGACGGGTTCAGTGCAGCACGTTACAGAGAAGAAGGAGAACACCAGAAGGAAAAAAAAGAAGGAAGAAGAGGGGAAGGAGTTTGAGGAGATGTCTGCAGAGATCAGAGACCAGATGGGTTTGTGCTGTTCACTGTGTCACAGGTGACTACATGACCTACAATTCCCCACTCCATAGGTTAGTAGACTGTCTCAACAGGTGACCCATGGCCTCAATGCACTTTGATAAAATAACCAATCACATCAGCGGACAAGTGCACCCTACTGAGTGAAACCCAGTAAACTAGGTGTGTGATGTGTGTTACCCAAGGGGTTTTGCCGCATCAGCCTGTGAGTTTATGCTGGGTGACAGTTAAGGGAACCACAGGGTGTACCACTCATTAGTGGAAACGCAGCTCTGTTGAAGGACTGCGATTGGTCCAATCAGCTGTGATGTTATTACTCTACAGGAAGTTCTCCTCTAAGCTGACTCTGAGGCGTCACCTAGGTGTGCACAGTGGAGAGAAGCCATTCACCTGTACTCACTGTTCCTACAGCAGCAGACTGAAGGCCTCACTTCTGCAACACCTGAGGACTCATACAGGTAACACACACATACACCTAAGGACTCACATGAGTAACAGACATACATCTGAGGACTCATATTGGTAACACACACATACACCCTGCCTCTGTGTGTGTTGTGTCTTGCCAGGTGAGAAGCCGTACAGGTGTGCTCAGTGTCCGTATGCCTCTATCGATCGCAGCTCTCTGCTCAGACACTGCAGAACTCACAGTCAGGAGAAACCGTACAGGTGTCAGCACTGTGACTATAGCAGGTAACACATATGACACACCGAGTAATGTGTGTGTTACTGTAATCAGACTGGATCACATGACCACCTGGCTGCTGGTTTTATGGCAACATAAATTGTGCTGTGATGGGTTATGGGATAATTCCATAAAACAAACAGATGTTAGGTGCTGTGGTGATTGATGTTAAGGTGGCCACTGGTTGCCATAGTAACAAGCTGTTTTCCCTTGTTAGTATCCAGAAGAAGAGCTTGGACCTCCATGCTCGCCGTCACCACACAGGTGAGGCCTTTCCGTGCCAACAGTGTAACTACTCGAGTCCAGACCCCCAGCTGCTGCTGAGACATGTCCGCAGACGGCACCTGGCAACTGACGTTGCAGCTGATCAGACGCTCTGATTGGACTGTTAGTTTATGGCTTGGAGTACAGAACATACATTTACTCAGTGATGTCATCGAACATGCTGCTGATATCACAAAGTTTTCCTGAATGCTTTTATTTTTTGCTGATTGGAATTTTAAAAGAAAATAAAACATAAAAAGTGAACCCAGCCTTTGTTTTTCCATCGCAGTGTCTGTCCATCCATCTGTTGTCTACACCTCTTATTCCTGAATAGGGTTACAGGGGGGCCGGAGCCAATCCCAGCTCACACTGGGTACGAGGCAGGGTCCACCCTGGATAGGTCGCCAGTCTGTAAAAGGGCTGACATGTAGACAAACAACCATGCAGGTTAGTTCTCAGGTTTATTCAATGTAAACAAGGTAACTTTGCAGATTTAAAAGGTTTCAGAGCAGGAAGTGACTCAGTGACATCAGAGCGATTATAATAAGACATGAGTTTAAAGAAAACAGACGGCATTGAGAGATCAACAGAACCCTATGGCCCCACCCAAATTGTTCTTAGTCAGATGGTACCATTTCACTCAGGAGGAAATAATTTATTGAGGTGGGCTGTTGGCGCCCCATGTTAAGGGCAGACAAAGAGGAGCTGCGCTCTGACCATCAGACAGTCAGTGTGCACTGACCTGAGGTTTCTCGCAAGAGGCAGCTTTTTAAGTAGGGTTGTAAATGTGGAAAATGAGAGCATATACAGTGGTGTGAAAAAGTGTTTGCCCCCTTACTGATTTCTTATCTTTTTGCATGTTTGTCACACTGTAATGTTTCAGATTGTCAAACAAATTTATATATTAGTCAAAGATAACAAGTCAACACATCATGCAGTTTTTAAATGAAGGTTTTTATTATTAAGGGAAAACAAAATCCAAAACTATATAGCCCTGTGTGAACAAGTGTTTGCCCCCCTGTCAAAACACTGGTTTATCGCACCTGAGTTCAATTTCTCTAGCCACACCCAGGCCTGATTACTGCCACACCTGTTCGCAATCAAGAAATCACTTAAATAGGACCTGCCTGACAAAGTGAAGTAGACCAAAAGATCATCAAAAGCTAGACATCATGCCGAGATCCAAAGAAATTCAAAAACAAATGAGAAAGAGAATAATGAAGCTCTATCAGTCCGGAAAAGGTTATAAAGCCATTTCTAAAGCTTTGGGACGGCAGCGAACCACAGTGAGAGCCATTATCCACAAATGGCGAAAACATGGAACAGTGGAGAACCTTCCCAGGAGTGGCCGGCCGACCAAAATTACCCCAAGAGCGCAGCGACAACTCATCCAAGAGGTCACAAAAGACCCCACAACAACATCCAAAGAACTGCAGGCCTCACTTGCCTCAGTTAAGGTGAGTGTTCATGACTCCACCATAAGAAAGAGACTGGGCAAAAATGGTTTGCATGGCAGAGTTCCAAGACGAAAACCACTGCTGAGCAAAAAGAACATAAAGGCTCGTCTCAGTTTTGCCAGAAAACATCTTGATGATCCCCAAGACTTTTGGGATAATACTCTGTGGACAGACGAGACAAAAGTTGAACTTTTTGGAAGGTGTGGGTCCCATTATGTGTGGTGTAAAAGTAACACCGCATTTCAGAAAAAGAACATCATACCAACAGTAAAATATGGTGGTGGTAGTGTGATGGTCTGGGGCTGTTTTGCTGCTTCAGGCCCTGGAAGACTTGCTGTGATAAATGGAACCATGAATTCTGCTGTGTACCAAAATATCCTGAAGGAGAATGTCCGGCCATCCGTTTGTGACCTCAAGCTGAAGCGAACTTGGGTTCTGCAGCAGGACAATGATCCAAAGCACACCAGCAAGTCCACTTCTGAATGGCTGAAGAAAAACAAAATGAAGACTTTGGAGTGGCCTAGTCAAAGTCCTGACCTGAATCCAATTGAGATGCTGTGGCATGACCTTAAAAAGGCAGTTCATGCCCGAAAACCCTCCAATGTGGCTGACTTACAACAATTCTGCAAAGATGAGTGGGCCAAAATTCCTCCACAGCGCTGTAAAAGACTCATGGCAAGTTATCGAAAACGCTTGATTGCAGTTGTTGCTGCTAAGGGTGGCCCAACCAGTTATTAGGTTTAGGGGGCAAACACTTATTCACACAGGGCTTTGTAGTTTTGGATTTTGTTTTCCCTTAATAATAAAAACCTTCATTTAAAAACTGCATGATGTGTTTACTTGTGTTATCGTTGACTAATATTTAAATTTGTTTGATGATCTGAAACATTACAGTATGACAAACATGCAAAAAGATAAGAAATCAGTAAGGGGGCAAACACGTTTTCACACCACTGTAAGTTTAAGGAAGGGTGGGAAAGTTTAACGAGAACTCTGTTGCTGGAATGTGAAAACAATGACTGCAGGTAGAAACATATTTTCCCTCCTGCTGCTGCACTGTGACCAGAGGATGTGGAGGCAAATACAGGACCTGAGGTTACTGAATGTCCGAGAATGTTCCTGTACAGGGGCTCGCTGTTTTACCTGACCGGGTCTAACCTACAAGTAGAACCTTGACATTTCACTGTTTCCTCTCAGAAAACATTTTTATATAAAAGTAGTTTATATTGTTGAAACCTGTCAGTAGACTGCTGTTGATGGAAGTCTTGCTGTCAAAGTTTCACAGGGTTGAATGTAACCGGTTAATCCATCAGATTAGCTTTGTCTTCAGTCTGTTAGCAGTTAGTGGATTAGAGCTGTGCTGTTAATCACCTCCATCAGTCAATATGTCGGACAGAACGAACACCATCCTGTTCTCAGGTACGTCCTCCACCAAACTCCGCTCATTTTACACTGATTTTGAATCTGCAGAGACTTAAACCACAGCTCAGACGGTCCTGGAACTGCAGAGGGTTCAAATTTGAGGCTGTACATGATTTGATGTGAGATGTATAGAGAAATGAACCAACCCTGTTTCAACCTGAAAACTTTGTTCAGTTCACATATTCAGCTGTTTTATAGCCTATCCGAGTTTTGTGCTTATCACTGGTTTCATCTGAAAAAAAAAATCTTTTGCCACCGCCTTGCTGATTTGAAGATGTTTCTGAATCCTCTAAAACAGTGAAGACTGATTTTAAATTGTGTGATGTAAGATTATACGGATTAACCTGATGTCAAGTCAGCAGCTTCCTGTCTGGCATTATAGTTAATTAAACCTAAGATCAGTCATCCAATCGCAGCTCTCACCTCCCTGTAGAGAATGATTTGTATTTAGTTTAATGTAGAGAAAATGATCAGTGACACATCTGACTGTCTGAGCTGAGACACCTCTGACCGACATCTTCGTTTGGGTCACATGACAGAGACTCTTCCTAAATGGTGCCATGGCAACACTCAGGCACATGAAACTGCTCTTGAATTGGGAAACACACTCAAGATCCATTCCATGACATGCTAGTTCTGTGGGGCTTTCAACAGTATCACATGGTCATCATTAGCGGCTTAGCAACATACACATTAAGTCACACAGGAGCTCCCCCTGTTAAAGAAAATAACGGGACTGGGTCGAAAGCTCCAGAATAACCAAGTCCATGGTCCTGAGATCATTGTGTAAATTTAACAGTAAAGGCGTGGTCACTTTATAGCGGAAAAACCCGGGTGTTGCGCTGCGCGTCCTGTGGTGGTCAGCGCCAAAAACTCCCAGGGCGCGCTACACAAAAAGGCGCTTTCTTGGCTACAATACAAAGGCTGCTAGCAGGAGCTCTTGGTAGTGACACTTGCCTGCTGATATTCCACTAGTTTGTAAAGGGTTGTATGTCTTTGTCTGATTGTGATATGAGGATCACAAGTTATTGTGCAGACACACAGGTGAACCAACTAGTTTCACGTCATGCTAAACAGCGATCGGCTGAGAGGACAGAGGCAACTGGGGTCAAAGTTGAACAAATCTGAACTTGCAGCACATCCCTGCTCCACGATGCGTAATGTGGACGTGTGTGCACAGCCTGTGCAGCGCATCACCTGCACAATAATGGCGAGACACGCCCGAAAGCGGTTTTCTGCAATAATGTGAACACGCCATAATATAGTTTGACTGCTGCATGACGTTAGTTTCTGGTGACAGGAGGCAGTTTGTAGTTGTTGTTTTTTTTTATTGTTTGTTTGTTGTCAGTGCTGCTGTTTTTGTCGGTGTCGGCCTTTGTGGAGGAGCTGGACGATTCGTGAGTACAAACTCCCGGACGATGCTCTAGGTTCAATTAATTTGACAACGTGCATTAAACAGTTGATGTAGTGAAGCTCGTGCTCGTCTGCAGCAGTTTGAGAAACACACCGGGTTCGACCAAGCGTCGAATCAAAATTACATCACGTCATTTGTAAATATTTGGTTCATCACTGGTATGAAAACAACAGACACACAATCTCACCTCGGGTCCATCGAATAGCTGTTATGGAGCTTTTGACTCATGATCTTAATCAGCAAAAACATTTCATGGTTGTCACCATATTGTCTAATTTACATTTTTAGGAGATGGATAAATTGAAAAGACAGCTGATGATGACCATGTGGTTATGATCAAAAGCTCCAGAACAGTTACTGTCTGTTCACAATTCAGAAATACACTAGAAAACAAAACGTGTAGCAACACTTGCAGTGTTTTGAGCAACTTTAATAAGGCAAAAACACTCATATGATCGGTTGTTTCTTTCTACATCTGTACTCACTCTTACAGACCCTGATGAAGGCTTCATATAAAAAACATTGGTCTTCTTATTAAAGTTGCTCAAAACACTCCAAGTGTTGCTGTACTTTTTATTTTCCAGTTAGTTTTTCCCTGTAGTGCACCTTGACAGTGGGTGAAGTTGTGCCAGAACTTTCTGCTGTGTCCCAATTCAGAAATACACAAATACC